ATGTACAGATCACAATAACTTCTCAGGTCACATTTAGAATTTGATATTCATCTTATATGTGGTAAAAGATAAAAGATTAAGGTTTAATCTAATAAGATCATCAGATTTAGATTTTTTAAGAGTACAATATCAGATCTATTGTATGCAAGAAAGCATAATAGAGTTAGAAAGGACTTCCTTTTTCCAAAAGTATCTTCTGGAAGTGGTAGAATTGGTTAAAGGGAGTGGCAAAGCAGCTGAGATTTCTATGGAAACTAGAATCAAAATGTCTCTGTGAACAATCAATGTAGAGGTAAAGTGTAATTGAAAGAGGAGGAGGTGTAATGAATATTTTCTCCCTTCCAGTTTGTACAACTAGATTCATTAATATCACTTCTGAGATAGTGATGAGATTTAATTCTTTAGAATTAAATCATCAGTTCTCTTGACATTTCTGGTTTCTTCATTTGCTCAGGCTTCTGACAGCCACTACCTGATTGTGATCGGTATGTGGCCAAGAAAAAGTCATTTTTCTATTTTAATTTATAGCTTCATCTTTAGTCTTTTTAGCAACACATTACATTGTTAATTTTACATGTTGCTTGAACCATGTGATAATTTTTCTGTTTTTCTTTAATTAAAGTAACATTGGTTTATAAGTAAGTTTCAGGAGTCCAGTTCCTGAATAAAACTCAATAATTGTAGACAACATAACACATCCCCAAACAATTGTTTAGTTACCACCCACCATCAAACAACCCTTGTGCCCAGTCCACATACCGCCTCATCATTTTCCACTCATAACCACCATCTGCTGTCAGAAGCCAAGGGTTTATTTGCATTTTTCTGTGTTTATTTGGTCTTTCTTCACATTCCACGTATGAGCTAAATCATGTAGTATTTGTCTTTCTTTTTTCTATTTCCCTTGGATTATTTGCCTCTCTTCTTAACTTTTTCTCAGATAATCTCAAAAATCAGACTTGTGAATGATTGATATTTTTGGTTCTGCATTCATTATAATACAGAAAAATTCAGTTCTTAAATGCCTCAAAAAAGACTGGATAATAAATTTTATTTAAAAAATTAATACCCTCAGCTATTTAATTATGTTATGAGTGTCCCTTTTCATGTAAATTATGAAAAATTATAATTTTAAGTAAATAGAGAAGATTATAAAGTAGCATGTATTAAGTAATCCCTTTTATTGTTTTTGGGGTGAAATTGTTCTGGATGTATACATGAGAATATACCTTAAAGTGGTAGTATCTGGATAATACAAAATTGGTAGGATTGCTTTAATTCTCTTGGACTCTTCAGTGAAATGAGTACATAATGTTCTTGTAATAAACAGTGTTAATAAGTAACAAGAAGATTTTTAAAAATTTGTCAAAGAAACTATAGACATGACTAAATGAATTTTTCTTTACTCAGTCAAATGACTAAATGAATTTTTCTTTACTCAGTCCATGTGTGGAGTTCCTCTAGCATGGAGTTACAATTCACAAATCATTTGCCGATAGCCATATAGTTTGAAAGCCTGTGTCAAACTTATTATACTGTCTCTGGTATACCAAATATTTCTTAGGCTGAAGTAAACTACCAATAAAACTCCACAAAATGAATAGAATTTTTTTTCAATTAATTCAGGAATTTTGTGATTGGGAACTGAACCAATATAGCAATATTGGAAAAATAATGAAAAGAGTTACTTGTGACAAACATAGGATGCAAAGTACACAAGTGTAAGTGGTAGCTGTGTTTAATAAACTGAATTGTATCACACATTGATGTCTAGGACTAGCTGTCCTATCTATCTTTGAGCCATAAACTACAGAAATTTAACAGATATTCATTGATAACTTGTCTAAAAATCTGGTATCAAATTTCATGAAGTTTCAGAAATTAATCTTTTTTACCCTATTTTTTAGATGAAATCAATAAAGAACTTGGTAAGTTCTGTGTTTCTTTTCTATACTATATTAAAAGACAGACTGTGGCCTCTCAGAATACTTACCTCTCTCTCTGATTGGTTGCAGACCGAAGAAAAGAGATAGGAGTGGAGGGTAAGTGACATCAAAATACTCAACATTGACAGGTCACATGTCATTATTTATAACAGATTGTGTCTTGCCCAGTTATTCAGCTAAATTTGAATTTTTCTTTTGTAGGTTTGAAAAGAGCTCAAGAACATGCAAGTAAATATAAAACTAGTACTAAGTGGTTAAGAATGATATTATGCTTGTCTTTTAACCTCTTTGGTATTTGTTGTAAAACATTGTTTTGTCCAAGTAATCTACAAGACACATTTGAACTTGAAAAGTTGTTTGGTTTTAGATATATGGGTCTAACATTAAATGTTAATTTAGACACTAAATGGGAGAGACTTTGTTTTAGCAAAGACTTTAAATGACGCATAAATTATGCAAAGCACAAACATAATCGAATCACCTTATTTTGAAATAGTTTGCGTATCAGTAGGAAATACATCATCAATTCACCCTAAATAACACAATTAGGATATCACAAACCACCAGATACTCATCCCATACAAAACATTGGAGTAAGGAATGTTCAACGATGTTGTTTCTATTCCCTCACCTTTTACTCCTCCTCAGTTCTTTCAAGTCAGATCATTGAAAGTCTAACAAAAAGGAATGGTGAGGGAAAATTTGGTGAGAAATAAAGTGTAAGATAAAGAACAGCAAAAGCAAGAAAAGTTTATTGTGCTCTCGTACCGAGACCAAGCCAGAAGGTGTTGCACCGGTTGAGGGTTTTGGGGTTTCTTAAGTAGGGTTAGAATGGCAGGGGAGCTGACATGGCAGAGAGGTTGGGTGGCTACTTTATTTGAGGTTTTTTGCCTCCTTGTTCGCCCAACAGTCTTTGGTGCCAGGTGGAGTTATTTTTCTCTTTTGGTGTAGCTAAATTCCCCGGAATTAGGGGCAGTAGGGCTTCCTGGAACACCTCAGGCAGTGGCCTCCCAGGGTACGGGTTTAACCTAACAGTTATATGTCCCCTCCCCCACAAAAAAAGGGGTAAAGAGGAAAGATCACTGAGTCTGATTTCTCCAATGATTACTATCCTATTTCTCTTTCTTTACAGCCACTAAATAGTTGTTAATATTCACTCTTTCCCAACAACCATATACCAGAGACATTTTGTGGGGCTGGAGTGGGGAGTGGGATCAAAAACGTGGGGGTGGGGGAGGTGCACGGGACTATGGTGATGGCACACAGGTGACTTGGTGATGGGAAACCCATGGGGATTACAATTGAGATGAAAAAAAAATGTACAAAATGATGTAAAAATAAACTATTATAAAAAAATTCGCTCTTTCCCATTTTCCCCATTTTTCTACATATTATCCAGAAAAAGACTAGAACCCTGAAAATGGCCTTTTTGGGCTTAAATGAGCTGTCCTCCTCTTCTTGTCTTTTTACCTCCATTTTCTTTTTACCTTCTCTTCTTCCCCTCCAGCTGCACTTCTTCCCTTCAAATGCACTGGACACTTTCCTGCTTCTTGAAAACACTGACATCATGGACAATGGTTTAGGATGATGTTTATTGTATTTCTCCATATTTTTGAAATGAGCACTCTAACTGATTTGATTTTTTCTCACCCTGCTTTGGTTTCTCTCTTACAGGCTAAAATATATTATCTTAAATTCTATAATTAATTGATTTATTTTTATTATTTATTTATTTATTTTTCTTCTGCAGAAGACATCATACTGGATGCAACCACTGCTCACCCTTATCTTCAAGTGCAGAATGATGGGAAAACTGTGGTATCTCTTCCAGAAAAACAAAAGTTTACTGATGATAGTAAAGAGCGATTTGATACTCTGGTAGCTGTGCTGGGTCGTAACACATTCTTTTCTGGTGAACATTACTGGGAGGTCAATGTGGAAGGGAAGAATAGGTGGACAATAGGACTGTGTTTGGATTCAGTTCAACGACAAGGACAGGGCCTCTCTGCTAGTCCTGAGAATGGTTTCTGTACACTTTGCCTAAAGGATGGTGAGTACAAGGCACTTTCCACTCCCCGTTCCCTTCTCCATGTCCCAGTACCTCCCTCAATAGTGGGTATTTTCCTGCAATATGAAAAAGGGTTGATTTCGTTCTATAATGTAATAGATTTTACTATTCTCTATACTTTCAAATGCAACTTTACTGGTGGTCTGAAGCCATATTTCTATCCTGGACCACCCAGTAAGAGAAACCGTAATGGTCTCACTCTACATGAGGTTTCATCAAACGATCTTGTTCTCCATACGGAGACCATAGCTGAGAACCATGAGAGGTCACCCCTCAAACAGGATTCTGCCAATCAGGAAATGTGAGGTTCTACCATCAGTGCCCAGACTCCTTTTAGTACTTAGGGAATCTAAGAGAGGTTCCTCATAGTGCCTTTTTATACTGCTCATAAGTATAAATCATTCTCCCCAATGTGCCCTATGTTATTCTTTTTGATGCTAAGAAATACAGAGCTCTTCCATCCTTCCTAGATTTATAGTTGAGATTCTGAAACTATGAAGCTACCTTCCTCAATAAATCTCTTTTCCACATTTCTCACCATACATACTACCAGACTGAATCTGTATGCTACTGTTTTATCAATAATTTGTGGTTCTTTTCATAAATAGAGAGCATATGCTATTCGTTTGTTTTACCATCTTTCTTTCAAAACCAGTATTTTTTAGCATGATACGACAATGGATAAAATTGATTTCAGTAAAACTGAATCCAATCAACAGGCAGACTGGTTCATGTTTTCATTAGTTTCTGTGGTTATTTATAGTTCCCTCCCCAGTTCTTCTAAATTCCTTGGTGATACACAGTGCACTAGTACTGTGAGGCACTATTTGACTTTGAAAAGAGAATGAGTTACTAACATAGACAATAATATGGATGATTGTCAGAATGTTATTATGCTTAGCAAAAGAAGCTAGGAAAAAATATAGTATTATATCTCCAAATATATGAGGTTCTTGAACAGGCAAAAATAATGTATCATGATCAACTCAGATAAGTAATTGTTTTAGAGAAAGATAGACTGGGAAAGAATATAAGTTAATTTTCCAAAGTGGTAATATTCTTTGTATTGATATGAACAAAGGTTTCTTGAATGTATGTATGTATCAAGATTCATTTGATTGTACAATTAAGATTGTTATATATCACTCTGTCATTGTCCTCCAAGATAATCCCTAATGTTCCTTTCATCCTGTTATTGTGCCCTTTTGAAGATACTATTTCATTTACCAATTGCTATGATCTATAGCGCAAGTGGAGTTAAAAGCATCCAAGTTTAGGTCCTAAATGGCATTGTGGCTTCCATGTTTAACTCTTGGGTCACTCACACTGGAAGGAGTTAGGCATAATAACATGAAGACAGCCAAGTTATCCTGTGGAGAGCCTCATGGGACAAGACCTGAGATCTACTGCTCAGAGTCAAAAGGATGAATCACCTTGAAGTGAATAATACAGCCAAATATTGCGAACATTGAACTGCACCTTCATGAGTGACAGAACCAGAGCCCCTTGACCAAGCCCTAACTGCCTGAACCACAGATGTCATGAGACATTACTAATATGTATGATTATTTCTGTTTTAAGTCATTAAGTTTGGAGGTGATTTGTTATCCAACACTGAATAAACAATATACAATGTATGTAAATTTTATGTGAAAATTAATAACAATAAAAATTGATAATAATAAGATTAGTGATTGAAAACCTATTTTATATGTGTTTTTACTGTACTTTTATTTAGCAATTTTGAAATAGTTTTTTTGAAATACTTTTGTTAATTTTAAGCTTGCAAATTAATAACTATATTGAAGATAAGAAGAACCAGAATCCTCACAGTTAAAACATGTAGTTATCCAAGTGGAAAAGGCGAAAGGAAAGAATGTGACTTGTGGGCCCTCCCTGGTACAGCAACATGTTAAAGCGCAGCATTGTGAAGCTATTACAGCCACTGCAGCATGAGTTCCAGCCCTGGCCAGGGAGGTGACCCACATGGTGTGGCAGACTTCTCCTGACCCACCCGCTGCTCCTTTCAGCAGTGTTTTCTAGTACATCTGTTTGTTCTGCTCCCCACTTCTGTCTCTGGTGAATCCCCTCACCCCTGTACCTCTGTACTGTACCCCAGTATTGTATACATAAATAAATAAATCTAAAAAAATTGTGACTTGTGATGTTTTGAATTAAAATTGGGGTTATCAGTATAATGTTCCTAATATGTAATATATTGATGTAGATCATTCAAGTGGCTGTCCTTTTCTACTAGCACCATTTGTTGAAGTGATTCTATTCTCTATAATGCATTCTTAGTTTCTTTGTCATAAATTGTGTAAATATGTATGCATGTGTGTTGTCAGGAGATCTTTATGATGCTCACCAGCCTCAGAAACCCAGAAAGGTAGGGGACTACTTCTTGTTCTCCACTGCCCCAGTCCAGCCAAGAGGTTCTCAGAACCAGAGGTTCTGGGAACCTGATTGTGGTGGGACCCAGGTGCATAGGGGAGAGGCAGGCAGCCAAAGGTATGATATCTCTGGACAGTTTAAGATGCTAATAGATGGCACATAAAGCCATACTCATAAAATTAAACATTCATTTACCATAAGATCCAGATACTCCACTACTAGATGCTATTCAACAAAACAAAGCTCAAACAAAGTTTTCATACAAAAACTTATAAGTAGATGTTTGCTGCAGCTGTGTTTGTAATCACCCAAACCTGGGAGTGACCCAAATGTAGACTTCAGAGGTAAGTAATTGACTAGAAGGTGGCCAGTCCCCATTATGGAGTCTACCTGAGCACAAAGGAGGAGTGACTAGTGACACCAGAACAACACGTGTAGAATGATAGCTTAATGCCAAGTGCATGAAACCAGACTTAGGATTCTGTTTTTATGGTTTTCTTGAAAAGCCAGAATTTTAGGGATGGAGACTTACCATTGTTGACATGGTCTGGGGTGAGCCACAAAGGGTTGGGAGTATAATTTAGGGTACTATATCTTGATCATAATGATGGTCAGGTTTCAAGGATTCTGCACAATAATGAATGAATTTGGGCAAAGTGAACCTGGGTTTTAAAACATGAAGGGGGAGAAAAAGCAGTTGTCAACACAACTGCTTTTTTGATGTGTCCACTCTGAGGGGAGGTGTGATCTGTGGTTTTAGATAGACAGTCATGGAGATGTGGACAGAACCATAAGATAAGGAGATATTAAAGTTTGATCCCAAGAGTCATGAGATTCTTGAGATGCAGGGGGCCACAGTGGGAGGGAGGTATTGAAATGATGTGGATGCTGCTGAAGGCACTAGGGTGACATTACCTGTGTGGCACCCTGAAACCAAAGGGAGTGGTATTCCCAAGGCTCTTTCCCTTGTTCCCTTGTTGCAAGAGGTAAGGCTTCAGTGTCAAAATAAGTCTGGAAACATCAGCCAGCTAGAGCTGGAAAGATAGGCCAAGGATCAAAGGAATCTACTCTATCCCCTCTCCAGTGTCTCCCTGGGACACTGTGAAGCTGACTAGAGCCCAGGTAGTCATATGATTGTCCAAGCAAGGAGTCTTTTGTAAAAGGGGGGGAGGTATGAATAATAATAACTATGTAGGGGAAAATAGGGGCAGAATCGGACAGTTGAGCAGATGGGAGATCCAAAGACTTGTTACAGGTGCTGCATAGTCACAGGACCCATATATTGCCCCCACATGTGCAGCACCAACACAGTGCCACACGACTTCTATACAGCACTCATGCTAGTGACATAGCTCACATTGTCGTGCATGCACACACACACAAACACAGATATCAATAAACCAGTGTCTCGAACTCATCACCTAACACAGTTCTTCACAAACACCATGTTACACAAAGTGAGATATTCAAGCAACCAGACAGGCAAATATACAAATAGGTAAACAGAGGCCTAAGTAGTTATTTAGATAAACACACAGACAAGTAAAGGGGGTAGAAAGACAGATATATAGACAGAAAAAAAAAAACAGGCAGAGAGACTTTTGGACAGACGAGTAGATAAGTGGACATGCAGATAGTAAGGTAGCAATTATATAGAATGAGAAGATAAAAATGCAGACATACAGCTCACAGACAGAAAGGCAGAGAGAAGATAGGCAGATAGACAGATGTCACATTCTTTTTTTTTTTTTGAGCATTTCCACCATGGATTTTCTTGAGTAAGTAGTTACAGTAGTGTTCTAAGCTGGCTCACATGCATGGTCAGCTGGGGCCTAGGGTGGCTTTTTGCAAAGCTGAGAGGCAAGCTGAAGAAGCCAAGCAGGTGAGGGCCCTTTTAGACTTCACAAACGTCTGACCAAATTCTCATCAGTGCTTGTCTCTCTGGCATGATTAGGGACATTCATCAGAGAAACATCTCAAGGGTGCACACCTGGGTACCCACAGTCTTTGCTTCAGATGCATTCATTCCTCTACCCTCAACTCTTGACCCAATACAAGAATCCTTTCTATAGGATTTCTTCTTGTAGGAAAGCTGACTTGGAAATGTGAGACAGTGGCAAGCAAATACCCTTGGCTGGGTGCCTAGTATAAAAATCCTTGAGCCAGAAACCTGAAACCTGGAAAAAACCTTGTACTGCAGTTCGTTACTCTCCTAGGAATGAAAGACAAGGAACAGAACCAACTGAAACCCTGTCAATCTACCCACCTCTGGGTAGTCTAGACAGTCTCAGTCTCTAGATAAGGATCTAAGGAAATAAGCTTGCATTTATAATTAGAGAATAATTTGGAGAATATACACTATGTACAAAGGTTACCCTATAAGAACAGGGAAGGCAAGAGGCTGCTGGGCAGAGAATATATAACATTTGGGGAATTTCCTAATTTCTCTTGTTTTTGCTTTTTCCACCCTAGAAGGAGAGTGAGGGATCAGAATTTCTTGGGGGGCGGGGCGAGGAAGGGGGATATAAGGTGGAAGAGACTGGTTCCCAGGGCATTGCAGCTTACCGAGGCCTAGTGGCAGCTGTGGTATGTTATCTGTCTCAGCATAACAGGCAAGGTGGGGCTGAAGCTGAAGGAGTGGAAGGTCTCTGCCTGTTCTCACAGGGCCTGAGCTGGCTACCCAGTCAAACAAGCACCAAAGTGGATGGCTTAAGAAGCAAGGGGAAGACCATGTCTCTACCACAGCTGAGGAATGAACTGGGCCTAGCTGATGTTGTCAGGGAACAGCAGGTCCTCCTTGAGGTCAGGGAAGCTGATGTCCAGCAGGATCTTGCTGATGTTGTCATTCATTGTATCCAGAACCAGGCCTTCTGTCAGAGAATGGTTGGCTGAAAGGCAGGCAACCTGTGGTCCAGGAGAGTCTGGCTTGGTGACTTCCATATTTTAGGGGGAGCAACTGCTGAAAGGGTCAGAGGTGAGGTCAAAGGGCTCAGAATTGAGAAGCTTTTGGGGTGAAGAGGGGGATGCTCTTCAGTGGGGTGGTGCTGAGATCTGTCAGCCCCAGGAGTCAGGCAGAAGGCCAAAGACACCATGGGAGGTTCATACTGGGCTGAAATCTAGCCCCTTCCCCCACTTTGGTTGGGGGTGTGAACCTCCAGGGTTCAGGGGTCATGGGGAGGACAGATTTGCTGGGGGTGAGGCGATGGGCAGGAAGTTCTCCCTCCTCCTGGGCACAGCCAAGCTGAGAGGCAGATTCAGAGGACGCTGCAGCAAGAATGAGCTCTGTGGCTGGCTGGGAAGTCCTGAGTCCCTTCAAGAAGAGCAGCTCAGACTTACCCAAACAGGGAGGCTGTAGATGCTATTTCCTTCAAGACCGGCTCATCTCCCTCCTCTGCCTTCACTTGATGATAAGTATTTCAGAGACACACTGGGTGGGGGACCTGAGCCCCTAGTAGGACTTCCTGGGAAAGTGGGACAAATCTCCCCAGGAGTGAGATATTTCCTCCTTGACCAAAGGGCAGGGCTAGGGCCACTCTTCTAAGGGCGGGCTTTCCACTTTGATGGGTCTCCTTGCATGTGACATTTCTTCTAGGCTGGATTTCTTCCTCCTTGATGGACTGAACTGGAAGCAGAGAAAACATCCTGTGGCTGCCATAGGGGCCATGACCTTGTCATCCAACAGCACCTTGGGGGCAATATGGACCTGCTTGCTATGATGGGAAAGTTCTGAGCTCATGAGAGAAGCTGCAAAGGACAACGGGACCTTAATCCAGGGCTGCAACACCAGAAGACTGGCTCATCAGGAATTGGAAAGGCACCAAGTATGAGCTGACCTGTGATAGTAGTGGCTTCATCTTGTGCCAGATGCTCAGTGGGAGTTCAGTTTTGATAGTCACATTCCAGCAAAGCTCAGGATTGGGTTGTTTCTGCCATGATTGCAAGTGCTCAGGCAATTGTGGGAACACTGGGTCCAGTAGCTTAAACACCTGGTCCAGTGTCAAGTAGCAATTGGCACTGGGTGTATGGTCCAAAAGAAGACTGCTGTTGGCAGATGTCTCCCGAAAGGTTGTGGTGGAAGGACTTTTCCAGCCCGGCTTGACAATGTGCTTAAAATAGGGGAAGTGGTCCTCAGTCCAAGTGTAGATGTCTTTCTAGTTCATGTGCTTTCTCTCTGTGCTGTCAATGGCGAATGGTATCATGGCCATGTAAGGGGGGGAGAGGGCATTCAGACACCAAATACTGCCAGGATGTGGATGAGCCTAGGGGCTCTTCAGTCTTAACCTGATTCTGCTCAGGTGCTGGTTGTCCTCCTCTATCTCTTGCTTGATGCTCCAGGAACCAAGTCCATGAGAACTCATCTTTCCAAGTTATTGGATGTTGGTCAAGCTATTGTCAAGTGTGCAACTTGCTGCTTCGCTACTAGCACAGCTCTCCCATCTTTGCCCAAGAAAGGCTTCAGGTGGTCTAAGATTCACATTCCTCACTGTAGGCTTTGGCTCAAGGGTCTCAAGAACCACTTTTGTCCTCTTGGGATCATTTCTGGTTTGTGCTTGAGGCTGGGATCCTGGTGGGTATGTGGGGCCTCCCCCACAGCTGATGAGGATGAATTTGTTGGGCCTAATGCTGCCACTCTCTTTTCCTTTGGTGGTCAATGCTGTGTATGTTGGCATTGTTGGGCATGGCCACCACTTGGGTGTTGGGCATGTTGGGGTGGTTAATAATCTTGGTTCCAGCTGGAAACCTGCAAGGGTTGGACTCAGGCTCTTCTTTGGCAGCCTGCCTTTGACCAGCCTCTTGTTGGGCCGGGGATCTCTTAGGTTCCTCTTCTGCTGTTTCACCTGGGGCATTATTGATGTTATATTTTGGAGTTAGTGCATTTGGAGAGAGGGATCCTTGGGTTTACTCTGGGACAGGTTTTGTTACAGGGGAAGGAGAGGGGCATGCCAAAGCCCCCAAACCTGCTCTAAATGGGTTCTGCCACCTGCTGCATCAAGACAAAACATATTAAGACTTTAATGAAAAGGGAACTTTAATACAGTGAGTATACAGTACAGAGGGCAAAAAATACAATTTCTAAATAAAAACACCTGAAGTTACCCATCCCCTTGTAGGCAAAAGTCAACCCAAAAGGGATTGGTCCAAAGCAAGGCCTGAAAGCCCCCCCCCCCCCCCAATATTAAAGCACCTTCTGGCCAGGACACATAGAGAAGGGTTAGAAATAGCCAGAGAAGTCTGGGAGGAAAAGAGCACATCAAAATCAATATAAACACTGCCATAGTCAACTTCCTCACGGGTCTCTCACCTACATCTGTTTCAACCAGTCCAGGGCCAAGAAACAAGCATGATTTCTTCATCACATGCTTGCTGCTCCATGTGGCTTCCTCAGGTTTCCCTCTGGCTCCCCATCCTGCTTCCTTCTCCTCAAACACCTTCTCTTCTCTTCTTTTTCTTTTCTCAGCTCCACCCTACTTCTGTCCTTTTCCTTAACAAACCTACCTTCTAAATATAACTAACATCTCTGTTTTGAGGAGGAACTCCCCTGGGGAACTCACCACATGCCCCTGAAAGAGGATCCCTTCCTAGAGTGAACCCAAGGACCACAGCCCCCCCCCCACCCCGCCCCCCCAACTCCAAACACTACATCATGGACCGGTTCCAAGCTCCTCCAACCTGGGGTGGAGCCAGGGTCCCAATGAGGGACTCCCGCTGGGCCAGTCAGGTCCCCCGTACGGGAATGGGGGGGGTAGAGGGTAGAGCAGAGTCACGGGAGATGAGGGAGATGGGGCCTGCGGTGGGGTCAGGCACCTGAGCTTTTAGTTCCTTCCGCTAGGCTCCTGTGAGCTTGCGGTCACCTGACCGAGTGTAGCCAATCTGCGCCTGCCCTTGTTTCCGCGTTGGGGCTCCAGCTCTTCCCGGGTAAAAGGAACTGCGGCTGGTTTCAAGTCCCTGCAGGTAAGGCGGGGCAGCAGCGGCGGACTTGTGGGGCGGCCCAGTGGGTGCAGGAGGGTCTCCCTCGGTGCTTGGCAAGTGGGGAGCGCTGGGGCCGCGGGGGAAGCGGTGCTGCTGAGGTGTCCGCCAGCCCACTCTCCATTCCACTCCCCTGCTGCTCCCCACACTCCGTGGGCTGTGTGCTTTCTCCACTTTCATTTTTGATTAACAGAAAGCACTTCCTGACTTCCACAGAATCCTCTGCGTTTTGGCTCCAAATCTGCCTTTTGGCTACTAATTTATTTCCTCTTTACTGTCAGTTTGCATCAAAGAGAACAGTTAGAATTAATGCCCTTCATCAAATATACTTTTAGCAGTTTCTGCAACTGTTGATTATGTTTCACAGAAACGTCTCCTGAAAGAATCTGGAACGTAGCGGTAGGCTGGTGTATGCCCCTGGGGAAGCTCAGCCTGACAGGTCCCTGATAGCGGTTTTTTTTTTTTTTTTTTTTTGAGTTAATGGATTTGGAGTGTGGAGTCCTTGGGTTCAGCAGAGCTCCATGAAAGGAGTAGCAGCGGTTTTATAGGTAAGCACGAAGAGGAGAAAAAGAAAAAGTCCAGACAGAGTGGCTAACAAAGTAGCCTTTACTGGAGCACTGAGCTGGGGGAGAGAGGAGGGGGGGGGGGCTTCGTGGACTGGGTTTTTTTTTGTTTGTTTTTTGTAATATAATAGTTTATTTTTACATCATTTTCTACATTTTTTAAAATCTCAATTGTAATCCCCATGGGTTTCCTATCACGAAGTCACCCATGTGCTGCCACCATAGTCCAGTGCACTTCCCTCCCTCCGCCCTTTTTTTTTTAATTTTTTTTTTTTAAGATTTATGTATTTGTGCATACAGAACTGGGGTACAGGCCAGAGGCTCAGGGATGGTGAGAGGCTTCACCAGAGACAGAGTGGGGAGCAGAACAGGCAGATCTACGAAGTACACTGCTGAGGGGAGCAGCAGGCAGGTCAGGAGAGGTCTGCCACGCCATGTGGTCACCTCCGGGGCAGGCGGGAATCGAACTCATGCAGAAGTGGCTTTAGCTTCTCAGTGCTGTGCTTTAACCCGCTGCGCCACCAGGGAGGGCCCCCTCTGCCCCTTTTTGATCCCATTCTCCACTCCCCCACAAAATGTCTCTGGTATATGGCTGTTCATTTTTCTTATTTTCTCGCCTGGTCCATTATACTCCTGCTATGTGTGAAACCATCCGGTATTTGTCTTTTTCTTTCTGGCTTATCTCACTGAGCATGATCTTTTCGAGCTCCATCCAAGTTGCTGCAAAAGACATGTTTCTTCTTTTTGGTTGCTGAGTAATATTCCACTGTGTATATGTCCCACATCTTTTTAATCTAGTCATCTACTTTTGGGCTGCTTCCATGTTTTTCCAATTGTAAATAAAACAGCAGTAAACATGGGGGTGCAGGTATCTTTTTGAATCCGTGTTTTTGTGTCTTTTGGGTAGATACCTAGGAGTGGGATTGCTGGGTTGTATGGAAACTCCATATCAAGCAGTTTGAGGACCCTCCAAACAGTTTTCCATAGTGGTGGAAAACTGGGGCGGGGTTTTAAGGGCTTTCTGGGATTCCATCAGGTATGCAGCACATGGGGGCTGGGTGCATCTGGGAAGAAGATGAGAGACTGTCTCTCTGGGTTGTTTAAGATTCTTATCAGCTTGGTTCTGTGTTGCTGTCTCCAGTGTCAGTCAAAAATTAATGCAAGGTCAGGTCACAAGATCCCCTTCCCAGCCTCCCTAGTTTCCCAGGAACCCATGTGCCTACTGGGTGACCTTTCACTCCTCTTTCAGCGGCTGACCCAAGTCCCCAGGGAGTTTCTCCACACGACAGAGATGCTATATTTATTTATTTAAAAGATTTATTTATTTATGCATACAGAACTAGGGTACAGGCCAGAGGCGCAGAGGCAGTGATAGGATTCACCAGAGACAGAGTGGGGAGCAGAATAGGCAGAGTGGGGAGCAGAATAGGCACTGCTGAGGGGAGCAGCGGGTGAGACAGGAGAGGTCTGCTGTGCCATGTCACCTCCCCTCCAGCACCCTGATTGAACTCACACTGAAGCGGCTGGCTTGCAGTGCTCGTCCTAACCCGCTGCGCCACCAGGGAGGACCCAATATGTTATATTTAAAGAGCAGGTTTGTTTGGGAAAAGGACACAGGAGTAAAGGACAATTGCATAGATACAAGTGGACATCAAGAGCTACCCAAAAAGGGGCATGGTTACAGGGTCAGGCGGCCTTGAGGAGCATGGCTTCTGCTGAGGGACGTCACTGAAGAGCAGTTTCAGCATGGTGCAGGTCACTGGCAGGCAGGACCTTCTGCCCTGTAAAGGAAGAGAACTGGTGGAAAATAGCACCTACATAGTCACAGGTGGGTAGAGGACTGCTGTCCAGTCCCAGTGCAGAGACTGTTGCTAATAGATGACTTCTCTCTGGGAGGGGCTCACTCCTTGAGAGCCTAGGCTTGTTGGTTTTGGCTATCTATGCAGAATTTTCAAGGGACCTGGAGATTCTACAGTGGGTTCCATTTCTGTATCCTGGTCTTTCACCTTTGGGTCTGCAGCAACCTGCTACCTGCTTGGGTCTTATGCTTTGCAATCTAGGCATTGGCACCGAAGGATCTTGGTTTTTATAGCTGGGTCAGTGGTTATACCAATCCCTTATACCCCCAACTCCCTGTGTGAGTCAGTCTTTTGATTCTTCCTTTTCTCCATCAGCCCCCATCCCTTACCTAGATAGAAGACCCTCCAGAGGGATGTGCATGGATATAAAATATAAAGAGGAATTTCTGAAATCCTGCTTGTAATGGTTATGTGAAACAAGATGTGTATATTTTGGGAGAGAGCATTGAAGCAGGCCTAGTAGCAGGATGTCTAATGTGCATAGTTATGATAAAAGATTATATTGAGTGAATTTTCATTAAAATAAACAATGAAATAGTTAAAAAGATGTAACTGTACTTTCTGATTTAAGACACATGGTGCTTTCTAGAACTATACTTTATTTCTAAGTCAGATAAAGGACACTTTTCAGGGGTGATTACCCAGCCTGGTGCCCACTTCTGGGAACTGTGGATGGCCGATGGTGAGAGAAGCCTTAACCCCTTCTGTGACAACAGTGGGCTGTGGGCGTGTGAACCCTTAAAGATCTGGGCACCCACATCAGAAGGAAGAGGAACATGCATTAAAAAGTCAGGACCTCAAAGAATATAGTCTCCAGAGTCAACAGTTTCAGTTCATAAAAATTCTCACTGAACATGGTACTTGTTGGATAGCCAGCACACAGGACACTTCCATTGTTCCTCCTGGCTGCACCTGTTATTCCAGAAATTCACCACCTGATCAACCCAAATGTGCACCTTCCAGTTAAAGAGTTCCTCACTGCCTGTTTCACCCACCTAAAAGTGGGAGTCCTCCCATAATGAATTTGAAAACAAGAAGTTGGGTTAAGGTACAGAAGATAATGTTTGTTAAATATGGTAATATTTAGAGACATAGAAGAATGTAGGTATTTAGGAATGAAAGGTTAGACATGGTAAGGAGGACACAAAGAGACAGCAAGGTGAATAAATCTGAGTAGGCTTATTTCTGCCCTCTCAGGCAAGGTTCACTGACCCCAAAGAGAGTTGAGGTCAGAGAAGTTGTACTGAAGGAGGAGTAAGAAGGGTTTTTATAGGCCCAGGTAGGGGGGGAGAAGTGGATAGGTGGAAAATATAGACAGGGAACTAGAACTTATTTTTCTGCCCGGGCTTCCATTAATTGGTGGCAAAGTTACAGGGCAGGGAAAGAGGGACACCACTGAAACTTGTTACAAGGCGGGGAGAGAAGGGGACCACTGAACCCTAAACCTTTCTGCTCTAAATAAGTTCTGGTGTCCACTGCATCAAGACAAAATATATAAGACCTGTAATAGAAAGGAACTTTAATAAACTAGTGTGCAATACTGAAAAGACAAAGAATATAGTTTCTAAATCAAACACTCAAAGTTACCCATCCCCTCGTGGGTGAAAGTCCACCCAAAAGGGATTGGCACAAAGCAAGGCCTGAAAGCTGCCACAAGACAAAAGCATCTCTGGCGGGGACCCATAGAAAAGAGTCAGGAATGACCAGAGAAGTCTGGGAGGAAAAGAGCAAAATCAAAATCCAGATAACACTGCCATCGTCAACCGTCCCACGGGTCTCTCACCCACTGTTTCAACCAGTCCCAAGAAGCAAGTGCAGTTTTTTCACATGTCTCTCTGCTCCATGTGCCTCCTTCAGGTCTCCTGGTTCCATCCTGCTTCCTTCCTCTTCAGTCTCCTCTCAAGCTTCTTCTCTCTCCTTAGCTTCATCCTCCCTTGGGTGGGGCAGGGGACCTGGAACCTCCCCTTTTCCTGGGGACCCCCCTGATACAGTGACAAACAAGGTGGTGACAAACGGGTTATGAGGTTATTGCTCCCGAATATGTGCATATGCTTGGGGCAGCTGCTTATTCTGTATGCCTATGTTTGGCTGGTGCCAGACCCTTATAAGAAACATATACAAAAATGGGCTTTTGTTAATGTCCCTATCACTCAGTGTGTGAAACTTCACTGATAATGTTATTTTACCTTAATAGCTTAATAAAATTTACATTCTCTCTCTGAAAAAAAATCAGAGCTTGACTCACACGCCTGATCAGGCCTCATCAGATTTATCCCTGCCTCACCTTTTAGGCTGCTGTGTCCACTCACTGCTCTGAGTTAGCCTGGAGAGTGAGGATGACTCTGTGCAGGGAAGTGGGGTGCTGGGCACAGAGCCATCTCCAGAGATTGGAGTCAGTAGGACAATGACCCGTGCTTGCTGTGAAAATCCCTGGGGGAGAAGTAAGGGAAAAATCTGAAAAATACTAGAGAGCTGTCAGTTTTGAGAGCTGTAACAGGGAGAAGGAGCATGAGGTATGGGCCTGACTATGCTAGGGAGCGGGATCAGTGATGGAGGAAGGAATAGAAAGGAAACGTCACAGGTTTGACTCACACTGGGAGTTGGGGGTAGCACTCCATTGGGGATCAGCACAGCCATTGACCCAGCTGTAGAAACCAAGCTCCTTAGGCTCAAGGTTTATATGACAAAGCAATGAGATCCAAACTGGTAGCAGACTGCTGTAGGCTATGTCCATCACAGACCCAAAAGTTGAAAGATAAAGATATGCAGATTGAGTCCATTGTGGGATCTCCTGCCCCTTTCAGGTTCTATTCAAAATCAACAAACCCAGGCTCACAAGGAGTGAGCACCTCCCAAAGAGATGTCTGTTTCAATGCAGTTTCTGCACCAGCACTGGGCTGCAGCCCCCTGCCCACCTGTGACTATGCAGCTGTTTCTTTCCACCTATTCCCTCCCTCTGCCTGCCCTTGACCTGTACCTGCCAGGACTTCTCTGCACTGACCTCTCTCAGCAGAGGCTATGCTCCTCAAGGCTGCCTGCCTACAACCATGCAGGCCTCCCTCAGCAAACCTGCTCCTTTAGGGCAGCTCTTGTTACTTATGCAAGTGTCCTTCACTCCTCTGTCCTTTTCCCTAATAAACCTGCTCTTTAAATGCAATGTCTCTGTCCCATTTCTATGTTAACCAGAGCTAACAATTAAGAGGGTACCATTTCCATGGCCCCACTTAAGGCGGGGGTGGGGGGTTGGGGGTGGGTGAGATACAGGACACAGAGGTTCTGGCTCTGAGGAAACTATGACCCCTCCCCCCCCCAAAAAGCTGCTGTCTTTATGATAAAGCACATGCTGGAAATTATTGTCTCTAGACAAATCTATAACTTTAAAGAACATAATACCAAGACATGTGACATTGTAAAAACTCCCAGTTCCCAAAAGATAAATCTGGTGGGCAGAAATAAGGGAGTGAGGTGGGAGGTGTGGGGGTGAAAGAGCTCACCAGAGACAGAGGGGGAACAGAGGTAGATGTATTGCAATACACTGCTAAGAGAAGCAGCAGGCAGGACAGAAGAAGACATCTGCCCCAAGAAGGCTTTAGTTGTCTCCTTTATAATTTATTTTCAGTTTTTCAGGACTGATACAGTCAGTCTCTGCTGTTGCTATCTGCTGGGATATTAGGTCTTGGTTGGCCTCCAGCACAGGAGGTGTCCCGTTGGGTTTTGTGTACCTGGAATTCTTTTTTTTTTTCTTAAGATTTATTTACTTATACATACAAAAACTGGGGTACAGGTCAGAGATGTGGGGGTGAGAGGGTGTTGAGAGTATCCACCAGAGGAGAAGAAAGAAGGAGGCAGGATGGAGAGCCAGAAGGAGACCTGAGGAAGCCACATGAAGCAGCAAACATGTGAGGAAGAAACCGTGCTTGTTTCCTGGCCCTGGACAGGTTAAGGCAGATGTGGGTGAGAGACCTGTAGGGAGGTGACTATGGCAGTGTTTATACTGATTTTGATTTTGCTCTTTTCCTCCCAGACTTGTCTGGCCATTTCTGACCCTTTTCTAGGGGTCCCAGCCAGAAGGTGCTTTTAGTTTCATGGCAGCTTTCAGGCCTTGCTTTGGGCTAATCCCTTTTGGGTGGGCTTTTGCCCACAAGGGGATGGGTAGCTTCAGGTGTTTGATTTAGACATTACATTCTTTGTCTTCTGTATTGTATATTTACTGTAGTAAAGTCCCTTTTCACTTAGAGCAGGCAGGTTTGGGGCTTCAGAGGCGCCTTCTTTTCTTCTCCTCTGATTCCTTCTCTTCTTTCCTTTTCCTCTGCTCAGCTCCACCCTCCTCCTGGGTTGGGCAGGGAACCAGGAACTTCCCCTTTTCCTAGGGACCCCCCTGTGATACTGGCACTGTCTGCTTCTGCCCTTGTCTGAACCTCCAATTGATGCAAACCCTCCTAGGTGTTTTGTCCCAACTTCTGTGACCAGCCACGAGAAAGGAAGGCGGGAGGCAGAAAGGCTGAGCAAGCAGAGTTTATTGCTCCCGGGCAGCAGCTGAGGCAGAGCCCCTAGGGTGGGGTCGGCAGCTACTGCCAGCCCTATAGTGGGGAAAGGTCTCCTATATAGGTCCTAAGCTCAGATTTCAAAGGAATGACTCATCGCTGTGTCCTTGATGTGAGGCCCAGTGGTTATCACCTTCAGCTAGTCCCATCCCCAGTTAATTGGATGCAAGGCCTAATTTATTACTGCCCTTATCCAGTCCCTCAGTAAATCTCCGTACTTGGTCACTCCCAAAACTAGGTACTTTTGCATTTCTAAACTGTCTGTGAAATTCATTCTTATTATTTCATGTGCACTAGTTTGCTTTTCAGTGCTATGTACTGCTGAGTTGGAATAGATCAAAATACATGTGTCTCCTAACCTGTAAATGTTCCTTGTTTCTAATTTTCCTCCCAATCTCAGTGGTAGCAGCTATGCCAGGTGGTGTTCTCAGAAGTGCAGTCCCCAACACCTGACCCCTTATCTGAGTGTTCTGAGAACCCAGGCCTTTGCTCTTTGTCCTGCAGCCTTGTGGGTGGAGCCCTATGCCTAAGTGCTCTGTATCTGTCTTATCTCAGTGACCCTGTGTGTGTTTCTGTTTCTCTTACATCACTACTCTGATTTACCATATATATTGGTCTCTGCTAGACTAACTAGTATGGTTTATGTTTTCCTAACTGGACAGTGAAAGAACACTTACCAGTGAGTAAACAGCAAACTATACTGTTTGCTAAACAGTATAAAGAGAAGTAAACATAACTTCTCTTTGGAACTTATGTGATCATTAATAACTCAAAAGATGAACAGTATCCAGGGTTGGTCAAACTGAATATGAATCTTACATTGACAAGAATTATTGGACACTGTAAGTGAGTATTAAGTTTTACTTATTTGATTAAATGAAACTGACAAATTTAATGATTTTATAGATTAAAAAATTCTATTGATACAAGACAAGAAGAGGGAAAGAATAGGCATCAAACAGCATTTGACAAGTTTTATTTACAGCTCTCCCTCTCACAAGTTTGACTCACACTGGGCACATAACTGACACATTCAGTCAGCCAGTGGCTGGTGGGGTCCCATTGTGACTGCCCAGTGGAGTGGGTACCATGGAAGGGTTGTGATCCTCTGTGGAGCTTGGATTCCCAGGGAGCTGGGTAAGGTAGTGGAGTGGTCATGGCCCTGTGTCCTGAGTCCAGGACTCGGGTTCCATGGGATATTGCCTATCCTTGGCATGTTACAGCCTCACCTCTTCACAGACTTGTCCAGTTAGAACCTGTGTGGCTTGTGCTGTGAGGAGATACCCACAGAAGTCCTGGCTGCACTGATTGGGGAGAAATGACAGCTGTGAGACCAGCTCTGGGCTGCAGAATGCTCAGGTCCATAGAGGAGTCGTGTGCATATGAGGGGCATGAGGATCACCTCATTGTGAGGAGCTTTACAACCTGCCTGGAGACCCAGAGCCCAGTGAGGGCCCTTTCCATATTGGGTCAGGGCTCCGCCTTCCACTCAGGTCTTCCCACTTGCCTGGCTGCCCCTCCCACCTTGACCTCCCCCTGAGTTGCCTGTGGAAGCAGAGGAGCCGCCCTCAGAGCATATTTGCATTTCTCTGTTTAGCAGGGGGAGAAATATGGCAGTGAAGAGTATCATCTTTTCCTCATATTGAATTAATATTTCACATCATTTTTCAAGACAACAGATTAGGAAGTACGAGTAGGTAGTAATCTTAAAGGTGAACTATTTACATTTTATTCTTTAATATTATATTATAATTTGATAATAAATGCAGTTTATTAATAAAGAATTTTGATTGTAAATGCCATTTTCTCTACAGTTGAATTCCTAACAGTCATGTCATAATTCAAAGCAATTGGTTTTGAGTGTGTATTAAGTGAAAACAAAAAAGATAACATTTCATGTGAGGAGGAGGCAAATGTGCTTTAACATTTACATCATCTTATATTTGTCTTCTAATACAATAATGGATAAATATTTTTAAATTAGTATTGATCAGTCCGTGGAGATCTTTTCCTTCCACTGTCGGAACCCTGCATAGGAGCTCTCTGAGCAAGAGGAAGTCCCCTTGAGCAGTTGGGGAACCTCCATATTACTGCCCTTCATCTCTTACCAGCTTACAGTTCTCAGTGGAAGGTGCTCAAGGGAATCTCAGGAATTTGTCCCAGACCATTAAGCTGTGGTTACCACAATAGTATCTTCTGACACCAATAATGTGCCTTTCTCAGGTAGTGAACAAAATTGACTTTTCTAGGAGAAACACCCATGGTACTTAACAAGGAGGCTGGAAAGTCACAGGAAATAAAGAGCAGAGCCTTCATCATGAAAAATATATGGATTTTCTGTACTGTATTTCTTTTAATTATTTGCCAATAATCACCCTTTTAAACATTTTGTGTGTGTGTGTGTGTGTGTGTGTGTGTGTGTGTTAAGGAATTATGTTTGCGGAGTTTTAGAAAGAGTTTAAATAAAGGTGAAACAGACCCCACGACTGACCTATGACAATCTGTGGGAAGACAGAGGTTTGATTCTCCAACACAGACCTGGAACTGAGATGAAGCCCTTGTGCACGGTCATCAGAACCCTCCTGCTCTCAGTCCTGCTTCCATGGCCAAGCACAGGTGGGTGGAAAGGAGAAACAATGACTTTACTAAATTAGAGTTTCAACTTTTTTAACATTTCATGGACCTGAAGACCTTAGAATTTATCTCATTTGTATCTGTACTTCTCTATCTGCATTTCTGAATATTTATTTTATTTTGACTTGTTGGATTTAATACAGTTATATAAAGCCGGTATGTAAGTAAACTGTGAACAAACTAAAAGTGGTATCTCAAGTTATTTTCTTTGTTATTCTTCTTAGTTTTACAAAACACATTCATAATCTGAACCTATAAAAGAAAATGCATGTGCTACCCAGCACTGTTAGAACTTTGAGTGAGAAACTCTAGCATCCCAGGGTCATGTACCACCCATCAAGATGTATGATCCTGGGGCAGAGTATTTGAATTTTTTGGCCTTAACCCAAACCCTCATTTGATATGTGTGTTTGAACTCTTCAAGCTAACTATCAGCTCCTATCTGGCAATTTTATATCTTTCTAGGGTTGACTAAAAATTTATCTAATTGAAGCTTTGTACTTGATCACAACAAATTAATTTAAGCAAGTATGCAATATTGCATTTAAATGAAAAAGGAAAGTGAAATACAGCACTTTAATGGAAAAAATAATAGAAAAATTTCATTTATTTTAATTAAAAGACATTCTGTTGGTCATATATATATCTCCACAGCTAAAGGTTTTATTCTAAAGGTGAAAATTTTATCTTTGAATTTTGAAACATCACTTTATGTTCATTTAGTGAGGTGAAGTGTTCATAAGAGGGCTTTAACTTACTATATCTCAAAGTCATCACAGACTCACTCCATGTCTGAATAAAGGACCCCAAAGACCATTGTACATCCCCACCCATTAGTAAAATTGATTCATTATTCTATTACTCATTAATTAAAAAGAAACTTATGCCATTTTCAGCAACATGGATGAACTGGAAGGAAGTATGCTAAGTAAAATAAACAAGAAGGAGGAGGATAAATGCCAGATAGTGTCACTTAGTGAGTAATATTGAGAAACCAACCAGAGTCAGACAAAGAACAACATTAAAACTACCCCTTGAAAGCTGACCAGAGAACTGAAATGTCCTGAGTGGTAAGGATAAGAAGAGGGTAGTGCTAAAGCACAAAGGTCAATGGTGAAGGACTATGGGTGCTTTTGTGTCGGGTGCCAGCTGGAGAGTACACCAGAAAGGGAAGCTCCTATGCTTCCAAAATGTTGACAATTATGGAAACCAATGGTACTTCAATAATTTTTTTCCCTTTAAAAAGAATCCTAGTTAGGATCTGCTAAGATGACCTCACTTGTCTTATCGTTCAATACTTGCCTTTGTGTTCATGTTTCCAAATCAGGTTCAGGTAGTTAAAATTTCAGTCACTAAGATGATTCTCAACAATTCATTATTTTATCAGATGTCCTCCCTTGAATGTACATGGCCATAAATTCTTGTTTTGGTGTCCCTTTGAGGTTTTTGTGTGCATTAGCTGAGAGGTGAATGAAATTACAAATGAATAATGCTAATCATCTGGGGAAATTTAATATAGGCTCTGAGTTTCAGAGTTCATTGCACTATTACTCCTTAAATCTTTTCTGCCTGATATCACTGGAAATGTCATGAAATTCCTTAGCTGTTATGGTCTGTAACCTTCCAGTGACACTTAGGGCCATTTGTAGGGGACGAATGGTGTAGAGCAAAGAGCAATTGCCTTAAATTGTTTTTATTTAGATATACAACTGCCAATTAAAGTGGATTCTGTTTGCAAGAGAATGGGACAAAAGGAAGAGCAACTTTGTGGTTTTTTACTTGAAGGCATGAAGGAGGAAATTATATCTGATTGCCTTTATCATCACCTAGAGTGATTTAAAAGAAGAGGTTATATCTGCTTCTAGCATGTCTTAGAATTCAGAATAGTGGTTCTTCCCCCAAGTAAATTTGTCAATTTACTTGATCTGTGATAGTCATTGAGCATAGGGTAATGTTCTCCATCATTTCCATTCTAGTTAGCAGGTATCCAGAGTATTAGGAAAGTGCTATATTCCATTATCTTTTCTTGTCAGGAAATGAATGCATAGTATAGTATCAAATGTATCTGAATTTATTTTTGTTTTTTAATTTCCATCTTAATCATCAGGTTCTGATAACATCTATGCCAGTCTAGTCATAAGGATTACAGGCTATTATATCTGCAAAAATTTCCTCAAACATTCTTGATTTCAATATGTACTCTTAATATAGCCCTATGGAGGTAGCGCAAACAAATACAGTTGCTTTATGTTTTAATTTTTAATAAGTTATTAAATCAATTTTCATGCAGATTTTCCTTCTGAGCCTTTCTGGTGGACATATGAGCTTATTTTTTTCTTTCTAGGGTGGTCAGGACCATTCATTTTGCCCCAAAAAGCATATTTCATTTTTTTAATGCTATAGATTTTAATATATTGATTTTGCAACCTGACAATTTGCTATATTTATTTATTGTTTCTAGTGGAGTCTTTAGACTGTTCCATATGCAATATAATATGATCTGTGAATAGTAATAGTTTTACATTTTCTTTTCTGACTTGAATTTCCTTTATTCTCTGTTCTCTGCTCTAGCTAACATTTCTAATATTAAACAGAAGTGAAGACACAATTAGTATCCTTGCCTTGTTCTTGAATTTGGAAGGGAAAACTTCAAGTTTTTCACCATTAGATATTATATTAGGTGTTGACATGTGATATGTGGCATTTATTATGTTTATTACCATTTCCCATCATGTTTATAGTTTTTATTATGAATGACTGTGGAATCTTGTCAAATTCTTTTACAGCATATATTGATATTATCATATAATTTTAATCTTTACTTTTGTTGATATCATATTGCATTGATCGATCTATGAATATTAGCTCAACCTTGATCTCTGTACTTGATCATAATGTATAATCCTTATGATCTAGCATTGACTTTGATAGTTGAAAATTTTTGCCTCAGTATTCATCAGGGATATTCATCTATACTTTTCATGTACTATCTTGTACTGGTTTTGATTTTAAGGTAAAGTTGGCATAATGAAATATATTAGGTCTGTCCATAGTTGTAAGTGGATTGTTAAAATATCATAGTGCAATTGTGTTGTCAACATCTCTCTTTAATTCTATTAGTATTTTTTTAAAAAAGATTTATTTATTCATGCTTACAGAACTGAGGTACAGGCCAGAGGTGTGGTACCTCTGGTGAGAGGATTCACCAGAGACAGAGTAGGGAGCATTACAGGCAGATTGAGAAAGTACACTGCTGAGGGTAGCAGTGGGCGGGTAAGGAGAGGTCTGCCATGCCAAGTGGGTCAGCATCCTGGCCAGGGATCGAACTCATGCTGCAGTGGCTTTGGAGAACTTCATTGCACCATCTGGGAGAGCCCTATTTAGTAATTTTTTTATATATCTTTATGTTCACCCTTTCAGTGCAAATATTTTTTTGTGTGTGTGCAACGATACTTTTAAAAAATAATATAATAGTTTATTTTTACATCATTTTGTGTCTTTTTCCATCTCAGTTATAATCCCTGTGGGCTTCCCATCACCAAATTACTCGTGTGCCATCACCATAGTCCAGTGCGTTTTCTTCTCCCCAGTTTTTGATCCCATTCCCCACTCCACCCCCATAAAATGTCTGGTATATAGCTGTACATGTTATTATTATTTGCAAATATTTTTAAAAATCATTTAATAGTTTGTTTTTACATCATTTTGTGCCTTTTTTCATCTCAGTTGTAATCCCCATGGGCTTCCCATCACTAAATCACCAGTGTGCCATCACCATCGTCCAGTGCACTTCTCTCCTCCCATCATTTATGATCCCACTCCCCACTCCACCCCCATAATACGTCTCTGGTATATAGTTGTTCATTATTATTATTTCCTTGCCTGTCCTATACTCCTGCTATGAATGAAACCATCCGGTATTTTTCCTTTTCTTTCTGGCTGTTTCACTAAGCATGATCCCTTCCAGCTCCATCCATATTGCTGCGAAAGGCATGTGTTGTTTTTGTTTTTGTTTTTGGTTGCTGAGTAATAATCCATTGTCTATATGTACCACATCTTTTTAATCCAGTCATCCACTTTTCGGCATTTGAGTTGTTTCCATGTCTTTCCAATTGTAAATAAAGCAGCAATAAACATGGGGGTGCAGGTATCTTTTTTTTTTTTTAAAGATTTATTTATTTATTCATACAGAACTGGGGTACAGGCCAGAGTTGCGGAGGGTGAGAGGATTCACCAGAGACGGAGTAGGGAGCAGAACAGGCAGATCGACAAAGTACACTGCTGAGGGGAGCAGCAGGCGGGTCAGGAGAGGTCTGCCGAGCCATGTGGTCTCCTCCCGGGCAGGGGGCAATCAAACTCATGAGGAAGTGGCTTTAGATTCTCAGTGCTGTGCTTTAACCCGCTGCGCCACCAGGGAGGGCCGCAGGTATCTTTTGAACCCGTGTTTTTGTGTATTTTGGGTAGATACCTAGGAGTGGGATTTGGGTCTTAGGGAAACTCCATGTTAAACAGTTTGAGGAATCTCCAAACAGTTTTCCATAGTGGTTATACTTGTTTGCATTCACACCAGCAGTGCAGGAGAGTTCCTTTTTCTCTACATCCTCACCAACATTTGTTACTGCTAATTGTTTTAAGTTGTGCCATTCTTACTGGGGTGAGGTGGTATCTCATTGTGGCTTTAGTTTGCATCTCCCTTACTATAGGTGATGTTGAGCATTTTTCATATGTTTGTTGGCCGTCTGCATTTCTTTGAGTGTCATCAGTTCTTTATATATCTTTGTGATCAATCCTTTATCGCTAGTTTTGTGTGACAAAATTTTTTCCCAATCAGTGGGATGTCTCTTTGTTTTTTGTAATGTTTCTTTTGCTGTACAGAAGCCTTTTAACTGGATGTAGCCCCATCTGTTTATCCTTTCCTTCACTACCATTGTGTTGGGTGCTGTATCTTCAAAGATGTTGCTGAGGCAGCTGTTGTACAGTGTTTCATCCATCTTTGCTTCCAGGTATTTTAAGGTTTCCATTCTTATGTCTAAGTCTTTAATTCACTTCGAGTTGGTTTTTGTGCATGGTGCGAGGTAGGGATCTAGTTTCATTTTTTGCATGTAGCTTCCCAGTTTTCCCAGCACCATTTGGTGAACAAACTTTCTTTGTTCCATTGTATCTTCTTTGCTCCTTTGTCAAAGATTAGCTGCCCATAAACCTGTGGGTTTAAATCTGGGTTTTCTGTTCAAATCCACTGTTTTGTGTCTGTTCTTGTTCTAGTATCATATAGTTTTGAATATTATGGCTTTGTAGTATAGCTTGACATTTGGGATTGTGATGCCTCTGTTCTTTCTTTTTAGCCCTGAGAGTTTTGGCTATTTGAGTTCTTTTGTGGTTCCATATGAATCTCATCAATATTTATTCTATTTCTTTGAAGAATGTCATTGAGACTTTTATTGGGATTGCATTAAATCTGTATATCACGGTAGGATGGCCATTTTGATGTTAATTCTCCCAGCCCATGAGCAAGAGATGTCTTTCCATTTCTTGGTGTTGTCTTGTATTTCTTTTAACTGTATTTTGTAGTTTCCTTTGTATAGGTCTTTTACTGCTTTTGTTAGGTTGACTCCCAGGTATTTGACTCTTTTTGTTTTAATTTAAAAGTGTTTTTTTTTCTTTTAGTTTGTTTCTTTTGATTGGTTGTTTGTGCATAAGAACGCCTCTTACTTTTGTGTGTTGATTTTTTATCCTGCTACTGTACTAAACTGGCTGATTGTTTTGATATGTTTCTCTATGGAGTTTTTAGGGCTTTCCATGTAAATTAACATATCACCTGCAAATAAAGACAGTTTTACTTCTTCTTTCCCTATCTGGATTCCTTGTATATCTTTTTCCTGTCTTATTGCTGTGGCTAGAATGTCCAAATGTTTTGTTGAAGAGCAGTAGTGGTAGTGGACACCCTTGTCTTGTACCTGATCTCAAAGGAAAGGCTTTCAGATTTTCTCTATTGAGGATAATATTGGTTGTAGTTTTGTCATATATGGTTTTTATCATGTTGAGGTATGTTCTTTCCATTTGAGGATTTCAAGGGTCTTAAACAATAACTGGATGTTGAACTTTGTCGAATGCCTTCTCCGCATCTATTGATATGATTATGTGGTTTTTATTTTTCTGTCAGTTCATGTGATGGACTACATTAATTGATTTTCTGATGTTGCACCATCCTTGTGCTCCTGGGATAAAGCCTACAGGTCATGATGTATTATTGTTGGATTCTGTTGGCTAAGATTTTGTTGAGGATTTTTGTATCAGTGTTCATTAGGGAGATTGATCTGAAGTTTTCTTTATTATTATTATTTAAAAGATTTATTTATTTGTGCATACAGAACTGGGGTACAGGCCAGAGGCTCAGGGGCAGCGAGAGGCTTCACCAGAGACAGAGCGGGGAGCAGAACAGGCTGACTGATGAAGTACACTGCTGAGGGGAGCAGCGGGCGGGTCAGGAGAGGTCTGCCATGCCATGTGGTCACCTCTGGGGCAGGCAGGAATCAAACTCATGAGGAAGTGGCTTTAACTTCTCAGTGCTGTGCTTTAACCTGCTGTGCCACCAGGGAGGGCCCTGGTCCTGAGCTTTTATTTTGAGGGACAGTTTTGATTACTTCTTCAATTTCCTTGCTTGTAATTGGCCTGTTTCGTTGTTCTATTTCTTCTTTATCTAGCTTTGGGTGGTTGTAGAGTTGTGGGAATTTTTCCATTTCTGCTAAATTGTCAAACTTGTTTGCATATAGTTGTTCATAGTATTCTCTGATTATTCTTTTGATTTCTGCTAGGTTTGTTAATGATTTCTCTTCTTTTGTTTATTTGTATTTTCTCTTGTTTTTTCTTTGTGAGCCTGACTAGTGGTCTGTCTATCTTGTATATTTTTTTGAAGAACCAACTTTTGATTTCATTGATTTTCAGATTGTTTCCCTATCTTCCATTTCATTTATTTCTGATTTCACTTTTATTATTTCCCGTTTTCTACTGGCTTTTGGGTTATTTTGTTGTTCTTTTTCCAGTTTTTTAAGGTGAGAGATTAGGTTGTTTCTTTGAGTTATTTCTTGCTTCTTCATGTGAGCCTGTTTTGCTCTATATTTTCCTCTTATAACTGCTTTTAATGTGTCCCATAAGTTTTGGAGACTTGTATCACCATATTTTTAATTTCTTCTTTGATCTTCTCATTGATCCAATGGTCCTCCAGTACTGTGGGTTTCAGTCTCCACGAGGTAGGTGGGCTTCTTGCCTTCTTCACGTGGTTTTTTTCTAGTTTGATTCCTTCGTGGTCGGAGAATATAGTTGGTATGATTTCGATCTTAGTGTATCTATTGATATTTATCTTGTGACCCAGTATGTAGTCAATTCTAAAGAATGATCTATGTGGATTTGAGAACAATATATACTCAGATTTTTGTTGGATGTAGTATTCTATAGATGTCTGTTAGACCTATGTTTTCTAGGTCCTTGTTCAGAGCTTTAATGTCTTTGCTTATTTTTTGTCTTTTTGATCTGTCCATTGTTGAGGGTAGTGTATTGAAGTTGCCTACTATGTATCTATTTTCTCTGATATACGTTTTCATAGATAACAGTAATTTTTTTTCCTGATATATTTTGGTGCTTCTTCATTTGGTACATATATGTTGATGATTGTTATGTCTTCTTGTTGTATTAGCCCCTTAATCATATGTAGTGGCCTTCTGTGTATCTTTTAGAGTGGGGGTTTAGTCATGACAAAATTGTGGAGTTTCTGTTTGTCTGCAAGTGTCCTTATTCTTTCTTTGTAGAGGAAGGAAAGCTTCACAGGGTATTTTTGATTGACATTTGATGCTTTGGAGTTTGTTGAGTATGTCCCTCCCTCCATTCTTTTCTTGCCTATAGTGTTTCTTCAGAGAAGTCTGATGTCAGCCTGATTGGTTTCCCTGTATAGGTTATTTGTTTCTTCCCTCTTGTCATTCTTATCTTTTCCTTGTCTTTTATTGGTAGTTTTACCGTGGTGTGTCTTGCTGTATTTCTCCTATCATCATGGCAGTTTGGGATTCTTCTTGCTTCTTGGATGTCTACTTTCATCTCCTTCTTCATATTAGGGATGTTCTCTTCTATTATCTCTGCAAATATTTTCTCGATTCCTTGGCCTTTCTCCTCACTTCTGGGATACCTATAACTCTAATATTTCCTTTCCTCATGGTGTCAGATAGCTCTTGAAGTGTTTCTTCATTACTTTTCCTTTTTACTTCTCTTTCTTTTCCTGTTTTGATTCTCTTTATTTCTGTGTCTTCATGAGTGCTGATTTGTTCTTCCATTTCATCTATTCTGTTTTCATTACTGTTCCCAGAATTCTTTATCTCCTCTAGTGACCTTTTCATCTCCTACATTTCTTCTGTTTCCTTTTTCAAGGTCTCATTTTCTTTCTTCAATTCATTGAGTGTTTGTCTCATATCATTCTTTTCTTTTTCATTCATTTCCTTGTTTGCTTTCTTCAGTTCCTTGATGGCTTGCCTCATCATTTTTTTCCTTCTCATCTTCTTTTTGTTTGTTTATCATGTTGATTTTAAATTCTCTATCGGGTAGGCTGAGCAGTTCTTCTATTTCTTTGGGGATTTCTGGTGACTGATCTTTTGTGGTGAATTTTTCCCTGGTGGACTTGCTTGGGTACTTGTTTGTCTTCTTTTCCCTGTCGTGTATTTTCTAATACTTTATATTTATTGAGACACAGTGTTGCTATTATTGGCTGGCATTATTTCTGGGGTGGCCAAGTGACTTCCAGATACTTCAGTTGTGGAAGGTATTCTGAGCTGTGCTTTGTTTCAATATCTCCTGTTTTTCCAGGCCGCACCATGTGGAATTGTGTCTGTTGTCTCAACCAGGAACAGTTCTGTATGCATAAATAAATAAATCTTAAAAAAAAAAAGAATTTGGGAGCAAATTATCACTCACTGTCTCAATTCATTAATCACCGACTCAATTATTAATCACTTATTGATTCAATTTCACAATGTAAAAATGAGGATACTACTTCATAACATATAGCATTTGTGAGACTTAAATAAGTGATTTATATAAATTTGAAGTCCAATCCTAGGCAAATGAGAAAACACAAATTTTGATAAGATCATATCACTGTTGTACATTGACATCATATCCTCTTGTTAGTTGTATATCACCAGAGTATTTAGATATCCTTGTTTCAGATGTACTCACTGTTTGGCCTCCCTTCACTAGTTGAATTGGTCTATTTTCTCTCAGAGGTTCACAGTCATGCCTGTTAGAATTTCAGTTATAATTCCATTCTTCCTTAATTTCCTTCAGGGAAATTCCATGTTATAGGACCAAGCAAACCCATCATTGCCATAGCTGGAGAAGAGGCTGTGCTATCCTGCCACCTTGACCCAATAGTGGATGCTCAGAACATGGAAGTGAGATGGTACCGAACCCACCCTTCAGGTCTGGTGCATAATTATGGGAAACATATGGAGCTGCAGATGCCAGAGTACCATGGACGGACAGAGTTTCTAAAGGAGAATATTGCCAGAGGGCAGGTAGCCCTGAGGATCCATCCCATTCGCCCTTTTGATGAGGGGGTATATAGTTGTTTCTTTGAAAACTCTACGTACAATAAGGAAGCACAACTTGAAATGTTAGTCACAGGTGAGTCTCTGAAATGAAAACTCTTAATACAATTTGTATTACATTTTGGTCTAGTCAGCAAACTATAGTATTGGAATAAATACTGGATAGAAGTGACTGAGTCTATAGAAATACTGTGATGAAATACTGAGAATGTTATAGGTGAAGTTCATATGATCCATCTATTCTGAGTCCTACAGGTTGCAATAGAAATAAACTGACACCTCTTTTCTTTTAAGCATAATTGCTTAAAGAGAAGAGAAAATAGGGATGCTAGTTTGCTGTATTTCAGGAAAGTATTAGAAATGTATCTCATTCTATCTTTCAAAAACCAAAAGCAGCTAGACAGAGGCAAGAAGAATCTGTTGAGCCTACTATCAGCCTGGGACATGTCTATAGGTGATACATTATTTCCTATTCAAATGTGGGTCTTGCTTACTGTGAATAAATACCTGAACAAGTTTGTCTTTGGGGTTTCATACTTGCTTAGACATTGCTCCCAGAAAAATACCTGTATTACTAGGGAAAAAGGAATGTTTCTTGAACTGTTTCTCTACAAACATCACAGAATCTGACCTGACATAAAGTAATAAGTTTCAATATTCCTCCCTCACAGTGAGCCTTAGGAGAAACCTCCCAACCTATTAGAGGGAGTCCAATAATATTGACTTCCGAAGAGAAAAAAATTTTCCTCCAGGACTTCCTGACATGTGTGCAAATAACCATGAGCCCTATTTGGTAACAGTAATGGATGTGCTCTATTTAACCCTTAGCTTACCTTTACATAATAATAAGTGGTCATAAACATAATGTTCATAAATTAAGCATAGCTATTGCAAAGGGGCTTGTTTTCAATCGTTAAACATTTTTTTTGTGCCAAAGTTTTTAGTGATCAGACTCCTTGATCCATGTATTCCCTAACAGAATTCTTGTAGTCATGGAGAACATGGTTGCCTCTCTGTAAGAACCCTTTCTGTTTTATAGAAAACCTGCCTCCTTCAACAGTTACTGCAATTCTTTACTGCAAGTGTCTGTTTAACACAAACAAGTGTCACTTCCAGAGCAAGCACTGATTGATACAGGTACAGGCAGAGCTGGAGGAGTGTTGTTCCTTTGCATTGATTGTTTCATTAAGCTTCTACTTATGGGTGGGGTTTTCCACCCTAGTGTCAGAACTTTGGGGCAATCCAGGAGTTAGATACCCACTGGTAGAGGTCCTTAAAACATCTCTCAAGTCTTGGGCAGACCTTTAACAACAGTTTTGATTTTGAGAGCCAGAGGCTACCATTGCTTCTCCAGTATTCATACATCATTTCTCATCAGTGTAATAAGTTTTGTCCTTGATTCTTTTGTTATTTGTCCAAAGTAATTCCATTACTAAAGAGAGCAACTTTCTGGTGCTCTCTCACTTTATCCCAATTCTTTAGAAGCATACACTTCCCATCTTGCCACTATTGGTATTAATTCCAGGCATCATGCTTGTGTTGAGTTTGTTCTGATTTCAACAAAGGTTAACAGGCACATCTTCTAGAATTGACTTTGCAATCTCCTATATTGCACCAGGTGAGTTTTTTTTTTTTTCTTTTTAAGGAAGACTTTATTAACTATGTTCAAGTAAGTAAATAATTTCACTACTTTTTAATCTCAAGGGGTGAGTTTTTTTTTTAAGATTTTATTTATGCATACAGAACTGAGATGCAGGAGTGGTGGGAGGATTCAGAGTCAGAGTGGGGAGTAGAACAGGTCATGTGGGTCACCTCTGGGGCGGGGATCGAACTCATGCTGAAGTGCCTTTAGTTTCTTAGTGCTGTGCTTTAACCTGCTGTGCCACCAGGGAGGGCCCGAGGTTACTTTTTTTTTTTTTTTTAATTTTTATTTTTGGGGTTAGATTTTTACTCCTTAGGTAAAGTTTCTGATACCTCACTTTCATAACTTCTACAAATCAGAGTTGCAAGGGCAGTTCTGCTTTCTACCCAAGTGCACATAAACACACAAAAAAGATAAACTAATGGGGATAGAGACAAGGGTGGTGGGAAATTTTTTTTTTTTTAATTTTAAAATTAAACTAAGATATAACCTAAGGCAAGAGTACCAATTTGCGCTGTGGGAATATACCACAAATAATATCCATGAATTCCACATACCTTTTATTTGTCAGAGTCCCCATTGTACTGAAAGAAGTTTGCTTCACTTTCTCACTTGTCCTTTGGCAATGAAAGTATCCTAGATTTTATATTTCAACTAAGTATAATATTTGCTGGTCTATACTTTACTATGTATCTGTGAAATGAATTCCAAATTTATTATATAAATGTACCTACAAATTATTTAGACAATTATCACCCTCTAGCCTATTACAGTATAAGTTTATATATGAATAACAATATTCAGCTGTTCTCTATGACTGAGACTCTGTGCTCCCTAAATTCATGGGCTTACACTTTGAATGTTTTCCAGGTAGGCTGCCCTTTTAAACATGCTTGTTGATAATAGTGGTGACCATTTCACTTTTGTATCTTTTATTCTCAGCCATTTAAATAAGAAATATGAAGCCCTATCATCTTACCTCTTCCGCGTGATGTTTCCCATGACCCTAGAGTGTTCTTTCCGAGGTGGATCCACTTATACTTATCACTCACACCCAGTGTAGTGTGTGGAACTGTGTGACATTAAGATTTCTTATTTTGGGCAGTCTATTGTCAAATGTTGGGTTCTGAATCAGAGGCTTTTTTCTTTATTTGCATGGTTTCTCACACATAGTCTTGTTAGAGCTTCAGTCTCTGCAGAAAAAAGGGTTCTTTTACACTTTGAGTCCCAGCAGTCCCAACTCATTCTCAGTTCTATTTTAAGTATCTGTGAGGGGGGAGGGGCATCAAAGGGGGAGGGCTGGAAACTAAAATTTCTCCAGAATTCTGATCTTGAAGGAACTTTAAATTGCATTTTGCTTGAAGTTATTACACAAAACTTACCTATATCATGTGTTGTGCAAATGTCCCAGGCTAGGCAGCTCAAGACATAATTTTTTTTTAAAGATTTATTTTTATTTATTTGTGCATACAGAACTGGAGTACAGGCCAGAGATGTGGGGGCAGTGAGAGGAGTCACCAGAGAGAGAATGGAGAGCAGAACAGGCAGATGGTCGAAGTACATTGCTGAGGGGAGCAATGGGCGGGTCAGGAGAGGTCTGCTGTGCCATTTGGGTCACCTCTGGGGCAGGCGGGGATCAAACTCATGTGGAAGTGGCTTTAGCTTCTTAGTGCTATGCTTTAACCCGCTGCACCACCAAGGATGGCCAAGACATAATGTTTTATAGGTTTTACTAAAGTGAAAATTCCCAAGGAGTAAATGTAAATCAACTTTTCTTTAAATTCTTAACTGATTTTAGTTCTTTAAGGTATCATGTTTATTTATAAATGAACCACTAAACACATCATATGGAATAATTCTTATATCAATCAGATATGTACAGATCATTATTACTATTATTTTACAGAAAGAGAATTGAGGCACAGAGAGATAGACATTAGTTGCACTCTCTGACTAGTGGCAGCACGTACAAACCTATCCTTTGAGTCTAGAGTTATCATCATAACCTCAGTGCTCTACTGCTTTCAAGGGCATTAACTTCTGAGCATACCAGTTCTTAGCACTAGCACTGGGAGCCACCACTGTGCCCTGCAGATCATCATGGGTCTAGAGCACCACTCACTAGTCATCTCGTGGTGTTTCTCCAGGATGTGGTCATCCAGACAACATCAGATTGCTTATATAATTACCTTTGTCAAAATAACAGGAGGTTGTACTTGTTTTCTAGGGTTCCAATAACAAATTACCACAAACTGGAAGGCTTCCAAACAAATTTCTTCCTCACAGTTTTGGAGATCAAAGTCTAAATTCAAGGTGCCATCAGGACTATGCTCCTACTCAGATGACAATCCTTCCTTGTCTCTTCAGGCTTCTGGTAGCACCAGGTGTTCCTTCAGTCATGATGGAATCATTCCATCTCCATCTTTCACAGCCATTTTCCCTGAGTCTCCATGTCCAAATTTCCTTATGCTTATATAAATGCCAGTCACTAATACACTAATCCAATATGACTTTATCTTCACTATCTACTAATCTATAAAGATGGTGTTTCTAAATACATTAATTTTCACAAATACTGTATAACAGGACTTGAATATCTTTGTTAGGGGGTACAATTCAACCCCAATAATGATGCTTCAGTTCCAATAATTTTGATCCTCTTTTTTTTGTTAATTTATATTTGTTACGGTAAGACTACACTTTTATTCATTGAACTTTAAAATCTCAGTTAATCTAACCGATGTTTCAAGTGCTCAATAGGTACTGTCATTACGACATTTGGATCACAGTTATGTTGAGAGCCTTACCGACATCACAGGAGGTTCCTGTTGAAAACAATGAGCAATTTGCTACTGAACTTTTAGAATCATCAGATAAAATTACTAGTAATATTTCAAAGGAGAGGAAGAAAAAACACTGACACAGATGTGATTGGCTTGTTAAATGATATTGCTTACATAATTTGCTCTTTTCAAAGGTTCTGTGGATTCAGTATATTTAGTCCCCACTTTTATAAATGAGAAAATTTATAGAGATTAATGGATAGGTACAAGTTCACTGGCCCATGTAAGTGGCTATAACCCTTTAGAAGCCATGTACTTTTTCTGTCTTTTTTATTTTCCCAGGCTCAGGTGTGGCCCCTCATATTCATATTGAACCTGCTACCACTGGAGAAGTAAAGCTGACCTGTACATCCACAGGGTGGTACCCAGAGCCTGAGGTGCAATGGAGGGACCAGCAAGGACAGCGTTTGGCACCAGACTCTGACACAAAGACAAAAGAAGAAAATGGACTGTTTTATGTGAAAACATCTATAACAATGGATAAAAGTTCAAGCGAAGGTGTGTCCTGTCACATAAGGAACCCAGTCCTTAGTGAGGAGAAAGAAGTGTACGTTTCTGTGTCAGGTTAGTTCCCTTCAGGATTATCCTGAAATATCACTGCTATAATTGAGAGACCTACGAGGATGTTCTAGTTCATCCATTTGTAATTCTTCCTTAGAGAGCTAGTAAAAAATTTGTCTTGTATTTTTCTTTGTGACAAAAAAAGGCATTATTTTACTTTATAATAATGAATGCATAAATGCACAAAACATTCTGAAGGGCGATGAACTACTTTGAGGAATCTGTCAAAATTCTTTCTAAACTTCTCCAAATTCAACAGCCTAAGCATAATCAGCAAGGCCATCTCTTGTCTATTTTCCCTCTTGAGCCCTTTCTCCTATCTCACATTAAGCTGGTTATACCCTCAACCATGTACTGTCCATATAGAATGTTAGCACCCTATTGTTTTTCTGTAAATAGGAATTTCCTACTGGTCCTTCAAGATCTAACCCTCTCCTCTTTCCCAGGAAGCCAACTTTAACCCATTCTGTTTAGTGCCCTCTCACATTATTTTAATTCTATGTTTCACTGTCTCCGCAGGTGAAGTATGTACACTCTGGGATTACTCTTATCTTTCTTCTTTTCTATTCCCATTATGCAGTAAAATATACATCAAAACATATTTTTGCACAACATATATAAATTTTTAAAGATGTGCATGAACTTTTATCAACAAGTAAATGTCTATTATGCTTAATTTGAGAAGTCACAGTGGCTTAAGAAAATTAGAGTGAAAAATTCAAAATTAGAAATGCAAAGAAGACAAACACAGATGTCAGAAGAGTTTATTTTTAAAAATAATCTTAGTAAACAAAGTTAGATGAGAGAAAATTAACCAAGTCTCTCACTTAGATTTTGTATTGGAGAAAGATGCTATGGAATAATGAGTTAAGGCTGAGAAAAGTAACTAAAGTCATAATAATATAAAACTCTTCAAAACATGAATGTAGGATATAAAATAGAAAAAAGAATATTTCATGATAATTATGTATTTGAAATAATTAACAACTACACAAATATTTTGATGAGATTTTAATTAGCGTAACCCTAGAGTAAAATTGCCCTTGGAGCCTACTTGAACTAACATTATTTAATAGAAAAATATTGGGACCAGCCATAATTACTTAATTACGTTAAGCTACTACCTATAAAACATTTCATAAGATAGAATTCTCACCTCAGTGACATAGACCTTAGGCCTCATAGTCCTACCTTTAATCTTAAAGCTCCATAGGCTTCTCATTCATTTACGTAGTATCAAATTTACATACATGTGTTATAGAAAGTAATTGTATAGAAGAGCCATATGGTAAAGTGATTTTGGACATCCTAGGAAGGGAGATAACTGTATGGAAGGCAATCCTTCATTGCATTTGTAATATTTCATTTATTAGGAAATAAGTAAATATCACAAATGTGTTAATATATTAATATTTGTTAAATATTTATTGAGGAATATGGTCATCTGATGCATTATCTTTGTTTCCAGCATGTAAAACATTTTCATAATTAATATTATAAATTTTTATTTCTCTATGTTAGGAAGAAGAATGGAAATGGGAGTTATTTAAGGGTTCCTGAAGTCCTTTGAGTTGTAGGGAAGGGTGGGTTTAACTCAGAATCTCTACCTCCCTAATAATGCCTCCCAAGAGAAAACATCTTGGGATTCATTCTCAGTGGCCAAGTCACTTCATGTCAGTGAGAGATTTGTTTTTCAGGTGCTTTGTTCCCTTGGTCATGGATAGTGGGGCTTTCTGTGCCCCTGGGCATCCTGGTTGTTGCTAACCTTTCATGCTGTATATTATGTGGTGTTCTCATATACAAGGTAAGTAAGGAAGAGTATGAGGGATGGGCAGTGGAGGGGTTGGTTTCATTTGTGGGAAAGTAAGAAGCTATAGTAACAAAACAGCCAGAAAAGGTCAATAGGGAATCTTTAACATTTAAAATTGAGATGAAAAACACCTACCTGAAAAAAGAAAACAATTCTAGCTACCCACTCCAGATCTGCATGTTTGTCAACTAAAAAGAGGTTAAGATCAGAGCTCATCAAGAAAAGATGGTTTATTTGTGATTTGGCACCGCATTTGTGGGTTGAGAAGCTAGAATCATTTTTTCATGTATTTGTTTATCCACCAAGAGATTATCAAATGATCTCTGACCTTTCTTGTTTAATTAAAATACTAGTTTAGCATAAGGATGTACATCCTTTTCTATTATCACAAATCAGGTATTTTCTAATTTGGGGGGTTGTAGGCAGGTGTGCAGGCTGAATCAGTATTCACACATTGTGTGTATGTGTGCCAGCATAATCAAGAAGATACTGACAAGTTAGAATTGTTCCCAGGTTACAGTCTACCTGTGCCTGCCTTCTCCCAACCCCTAGAAGAAACTGCTTTTTCAGAGTCCATTTTTCTGTCTTCTATTTTTGTTACACTTGTCTCAACAGGGCTGGCTTTGGTGCTTATAGCCTTTGGTGCTTCTGTGTCTCACTTTCCTTCTTTTTTTAGTACCTTTTTATTGAAGTAATACTACATTATAACTTTAGGCAGATTTCAGGCATATATCATTACCAATCATCATGTGTATATAGTACTAATATTAAGTTGACCACTTAAAATCTAACTCTAGCCTTCATAAAACTGACCCTTTTTACCCAGTTTACTTAACCCTTTTTCCCCATCCTTTCTAGTAACTGCTACATTACATTTTGATTTCTAAAATTTTATTTTTGTTGTATTTTTGTTAATCTGAACTTTTAATTTGTCTGTACCTCATATGAATAAAATGTAGTGTTTGTTTTTCTCTGTCTGACTTTTTCACTAAGCAATGTCTTATAGTTCATCCACATTGTTTAAAAGGGAGGATTCTTTTTATATATCTGAACAGTATACCATTTTGCCTACATACCACATCTTCATTTTTTGCTTAAATTTTTTATTGAAATATTTTTTGTTTAAATTTTTGTTAGTATTTTGGAAGAGGAGAATCTCCGCCTTCAGGTGTAGTTGTCATAGCACATATACTGGTTCTCCAGAATAATCCATTGTGCTCTCCCCCACCCTGTACTCACTCCTCTCCTTCCTTTCCCTCTAGTGCCTCGGTTCTAAGTCAGTTTTCAGAAGAGGTTGGTTTTAATGTTTGTCTTTGACCCTTTGTTTGGTTGCTCTATATTCCACATATAAGTGGCACCATCCAGTGTTTATCTTTCTCCTTCTGGCTTTTTTCACTTAGCAAAATAATCCTTGTCTTTTCATCCATTTCGTGTCACACGAGTTTGTCTTTTCTGGTCATGGAATATTATTCCATTGTGTTTATATACCACATCTTCTTGATCCACTCATCTATTTTAGACACAGGTTTTTTTCCATAGCTTGACTATTATTAAAAGTTTTTATATTGTTTGGGGAGATACTTCAGAGTGGAATTGCTAAATTGTATAGCAGATTCATGTTTAATCTTTTGAGAAACCCCAATACTGGTTTCCATAGGGGCAGGACTATCTTAATTCCACCAAGAATGTAAAATTTCTTTTCTCTTCATACTCACACCAGCACTTGTTTTTGGTCTTTTTGATAGAGGCCATTTTCACAGGTGTGGTCTTATCATGGTCTAATCTGAATTTCCCCCATGATAAGCAAGACGAACATTTTTCCATGTGCTTATTGGCCAGCTGTATGTCTTTCTTGGAGAATTGTCTGCTAAACTCTTTCTGCTGATTTTTAGATCGGGGTATCTTTTTTCTTTCTGTTGAATTATATGAATCCTTCGCAGATCTCTGACATTAGTCTATTATGTGACTTATTATACACAAATATTTTCTCCTATTCAAAAGTCTATCCTCATTTTAGTTACAGTTTCTTTGTGCCAAAATATTTTTAGTTTGTACTCATACTAATTGTTCATATTCTCCTTTGTTTTCCCTGTTACTAGAGACCAACATGCCAAAATATCACTGAGGTTTGTGGCATGAAGTGTTTTGCCTGTTTCCTACTATGTATTTTTTGGTTTTTATCCATTTCTAGTTGATTTTTTTGCATGGTGTGAGATAGTGGTCTACTTTCATTCTTTTGTGTGCATCCATCCAGTTTTCCCACCACCATTTACTGAAGAGGCTTTCATGTTCCTGTGTATATTCTTGGTTCTTTGCTGTAGATAGCTGTCCATATAGGTGTGGGTTGACTTATGGGCTCTAAATTCTATTCCCTTGATTTATGTGTCTGTTTTTGTTTCAGTGCCATGAAGTTTTAGATTACTAGGGCTTTAGTATAGCTTGTAGTCTGAATGTGGGATACTGCCACTCTGCCTCTTTTTTGTAAGTATTACCTTGCCTGTTTGGGTTCTTTGGTGGTTGCACATGAATTTCAGTAATGCTTGGTACATTTCTTTGAAGAGTACCATTGAAATTTTTATTGGGACTGCATTGAATCTGCATATTGCTTTGAGTAGAATGGCCACTTTGGCAATGTTGATTCTTCCAATCTATGATCAGGGAATAATTTTTTGTTTATGTCTTCTTCTATTTGTTTTAATAGTTTTATAGTTTTCTTTGTATAGTTTATTTTCTTTGTTTTTTAAGATTGACTCCTAGGTATTTAATATGTTTGTGTGTGTGTGTGTGTAACTGTAATATGCTCATTTTCATAATCCTTTCTAGTTTTATTATTATAAAAATTTCATAATCCTTTCTATTGTTTGCATATAGATAGCCCCCTGATTGTTTTTGTAACTTGCCACTTTGTTGAACAAGATTGTTTCACTTAGTTTTGTTTGGTTTTGGTACTAGGGTAATATTGACCTCATAAAATCTGCTTGGAAATTCCTTCTTTTTCAGTTTTTTTGAAGATTCAAACAGGGTAGGTAGTAGTGTATTTTTGAAGATTGATAGAGCTTTCATGTGATGCCATCTGGTCCTGGACTTTTGTGTTTTGGGATAATTTGATTACTGTTTCAGATTCCTTTCTTCTGCTTGGTCTGTTCAGATTTTCTATTTTTTACTATTCAATCTTGTATGATTATATAATTCTAAGAACTTTTCATCTATTCTATGTTATTAAACTCAATTAGCATATACATGTTTATAGTAGCTTTTTATATGCTCTGAATTTGACCAGTTTTTAGTTGAAAGTCTATCTTGTCTGATATTGGTGTACATGTTCTTGCCTTCTTTTGATTATCATTGTCTTGAAATATCTGTTCGCATCTCTGCTCTTCAGTGCATGTGTGTCTTTAAAAATGAAAAAATAAAATTCCTTATAGGGAGAATATCACTGGACTTGTCTTTTGAAAGCTTCTATTCAGCATGACATTGACTTCAGTATAATTCAACTTGAAAACCTCACCACATTGATTTTTTTGCATTTTAAAAATGATTTATTTACTTATGCATACAGAACTGGGGTACAGGCCAGAGGTACAGGGGCGGTGAGAGGATTCACCAGAGACAGAGTGGGGAGCAGAACAGGATGACTGACAAGTCCATTGTTATTTGTGAGAGAGGATATTAGAGAGCCAGTAAGAGGACTTTTTTTGTTTTTGTTTTTGTTTTTTTTTTTAGGAAAATGCAGGGGTTAGTGGATCTAGTAGAGTTATGAAAGGGAGGGCAACACAACTGAGATCTATGTTAGCACTAGAATCAAGAACACTGAAGAACCCATGTAGATGGTAAAGTGGGAGGTGGTAGAGAAGAAGGTGCAAAGGATACTTCAACATTTACAGTCTGTGCAACTGGATACAATAATACTATTTCTGAGATGGTGATGAGTTTTAATCCTTTAGATACAGAATTCAGTAATTCATCAATTCTCTTAACATTCTTTCTTTTCCTATTTTTCTGTGTTCTATTTGTCTTTTTTTTTTAAGATTTATTTATTTGTGCATACAGAACTGGGATACAGGCCAGAGGCTTAGGGGTGGTGTGAGGGTTCACCAGAGACAGAGTGGGGAGCAGAACAGGCAGATCGACAAAGTACACTGCTGAGGGGAGCAGCGGTGGGTCAGGAGAGGTCTGCCACACCATGTGGTCACCTCCGGGGCAGGCAGGGATCGAATTCATGTGGAAGTGGATTTAGTATAAAAATTACATTGCCCTGGCCCTCCCTGGTGGCGCAGCGGGTTAAAGCACAGCACTGAGAATCTAAAGCCTCTTCCGCATGAGAACTCATGCAGAAGTGGCTTTAGCTTCTCAGTGCTGTGCTTTAACCCGCGCCACCAGGGAGGGCCTCTATTTGTCTTTTTAACCCTTCCTCTCATAGCTAAGATTTAGAAATAGTCAATGTTTTGGGTTTTGCTTTTATCAAAATAAAGAAAATAAAATCATAAATACCTCAAAAATATTAGACAATCAATATCATTTATAAAATTTAATACCGTTAGCCATTTCATTATGCTATGGAAGAATGCTTTTCATAATATTTGAATTACTTAATTATTTAAAATAAAATATATAATTTAATTAACTACTTGATTATTAAAAATTGTTATTTTTAAAAAAATAGGGAAGATTATGAAGTAGCATGTATTAGGTGATCCTATTTTGTTGTTATGGTATAAATATATTCTGGATGTATAAATGGTAAGGTATTTTAAAGTGGTTGTATCTAGGTAATAGAAAACTGATGAGATTGCTTTTTACCTTGTTTGCTCTTTTAATGAAGTGAAAATAAGATGTTTTTGTAATAAATAGGCAATATTTATAATTAAGCAAAATTTTTGAAATAACCCTTTTCAAAAAAAAATGCAACTGTAGGAATCCTGAGGTGACCTTTCTTTGTTCCTTTAAGGATGGAGTACTTCTAGGACAGTGTCATAGTTGATTGACATTTACACCATCCCTGGTACAGAGAAGATCTCTTAGATTACATAGACTTTCAATAAAACTAGCGAGGTGAATAGAAAATGTCTTTGAATTAGTTCAGGAATGTTATGACTGGAAACTGAACTGATTCTGAAATAGCTGAAAAGTAATGAAAGAGTTATTTGTGATAAACGTAAGAGGCAAAGTGTGCAAGTGGCAGCTTTGCTTAACAATACCAGATGTATATCTAGAACAAGTTGTCCTTTCTGTTTCTGTAGTTTGAGCTTCAAAGTACAGAAAATTGGCACAGATATTCACTGATAACTTGCAGATTATATAGGGCCAAAGACTAGCATCAAAATTGGTAGAGTATCAAAAAAAAAAACTAATATTTTTAGCATCTTCATTTTATTTTTTTATAGAAAAATCAGTAAAGAACTTGGTAAATTTTTGTTTCTTATATGTTAAGAAGGAAATACCATCTATATTCTCTGGGAATACTTCTCTTTTGTAGGATATGATATGAACGATTAATGTTCTGGAGTGATTAGACGTGCTTCAAATTGTGATAGAGATGAAGGTTTCCTGGATGTTTGCATGGATAAAAATGCATTTCGTTGTACACTCAAGATTGTTGTGCTTTACTCTGTTCTCCACGGTGGTCCCAGTCTTCCTTTCATCCTGTTACTGTGCCCTTTTGAAGATACTACCTCACTGAATAATTGCTTTGAAAAACAGAATAAATATAATGGATATAAAAGCATCCAAAGTAGATCTTAAGTGGTATTGCAGCTTCCATGTTTATCTGTTGGATCACTCACTCTGGGGGATGTCAAGCACTATGACATGAGAACACTCAAGTTGTCCTGTGGAGAGTGTCATGGAGACAAAACCTGAGGTCTCCTGCTCATCGCCATAAGGATGAATCATCTTGACGGTAATATTCCAGCCCATCTAGCCAACTGAACTACACCTTCCTGGGAGACAAAACCACAACTCTTGACCAAGCCCTCAAATGCCTAAACCACAGACATCTTGCAAGCAACTAAGAAGCAACTAATTTGTATGATTATTTCTGTTTTGTTTTGATTATTTTTATTTTTAAGAAACTAAGATTGAAAATTATTTCTCATCAGCATTGAATAAATAATGTACTGACACAAGCTATACAACCTCTGTCGACAGACACGGTACGGATGGAGGGGAAATGCTCTGAAAAATCAGACTTTCCACGCTAATTTATGTTATGACCGCCCTTTCTTGTATAATTGTAATATCAAAATATTCTGAGCATGGCCCTCCCTGGTGGCACAGCGGGTTAAAGCACAGCACTGAGAATCTAAAGCCTCTTCCGCATGAGTTCAATTCCCGCCTGCCCTGGAGGTGACCACATGGCGGGACAGACCTCTCCTGACCCGCCCGCTGCTCCCCTCAGCAGTGTACTTCG